TTGAGACTCTGTCTCAAAAAAAAAAAAAAAAAAGAAAAGACAGTCAAGGGAGTGGGTGAGCCCCTGACCAAGAGACCCACTCACATGGACACCTCACTTCAGCTCTGTCCTGGAGAAGAGAAATGATTACAAAAAGCTTAACTCTTTCTAAAATAAATATAAAACATGCCTTCCTAAATAACTTCAAATCAACCCCTCTATTATTTAGAAGCACTTAAGAGACTCACCTTCATCAGAAGAAATTCATATACAGTCACAGCCTGAGCCAGCTGTGGTAGAGCCAACTCCACTAGGTCCTCCTGGTCACACTGTTGGAGAAACTACCAGAATAAGGCATTTTTAAAAAACCATTATAACAAATCTGCAGTTTATCTGAAGTAATTCAGTTTCAAGAACTTTAGCTTGCAGCTCGCTGCCTGTAGCTCAGTGGGTTGGGTGCTGGCCATTTGCAACAGAGCTGCTGGGTTTGAATCCAGTCCAGGCCTGCTAAATGATAATGACAACAACAAAAAAGCCAGGTGTTGTGGCAGGTGCCTATAGTCCCAGATTCTTGGGAGGCTGAGGCAAGAGAATTGCTTAAGCCCAAGAGTTAGAGGTTGCTGTGAGCTGTGACGCCAGAGCACTCTACCGAAAGTGACAGAGTGAGACTGTCTCAAAAAATAAAAATAAAAAACTTTTGGCTCAGTGCCTGTAGCACAGTGGTTATGGTGCCAGCCACATACACCGAGGCTGATGGGTTTGAAACCGACCTGGACCAGCTAAACAACTGTGACAAAAAATAGCCAGGAGAATCGCTTAAGCCCAAGAGTTTGAGGTTGCTGTGAGCTATGATGGCACAGCACTCTACCAGGGTGACGTAGTAGGCCTCTGTCTCAAAAAAAAGAAAATAAAGAACTTTAGCTTACAGCAGTCCCAGAAAAAAAACAAGTTAACAGTCATAAACAATAAAAGAATACATTTTGAGGAGTTTTTAACACTGTCATGGTTTTATTCAAAACACAATTGTACAAAAGTATTAACTTCAAAGTTTTAATTTACTTACTGATTTTTAACTTTAAAGTTTTTTCCCCACTCCCTCCCCACTTCAAAGTATTTTTTTTTTTTTTGAGACAGAGTAGAGTGCCATGGCATCACAGATCACAGCAACCTCAAACTATTGGGCTCAAGCAATTCTCTTGCCTCAGCCTCCCAAGTAGCTATATTTTGTTGTGGTTTTCATTATTGTTTAGCTGGCGCGGACCGGGTTCAAACCCACCACCTTTGGTGTATATGGCTGAAGCCATAACCACTCTGCTACAGGTGCTGAGCCACTTCAGAGTTTTTAAGGAGTTTTTTTTTTGAGACAAAGTCTCAAGCTGTCACCCTGGGTAGAGTGCTGAGGCGTCACAGCTCAAGCAACCTCAAACTCTTGGGCTTAAGCAATTCTCTTACCTCACTCTCCCAAGTAACTGGGACTACAAGTGTTCGCCACAATGCTCAGCTATTTGTTGTTGCTGTTGTCATTATTGTTTTAGCTGGCCCAGGCCAGTTCAAACCTGCCAGCCTTGGTATATGTGGCCAGAGCCCTACCCACTGAATACAGGTGCTGCCATTAAGTAGATAGTCTTTTTTTTTTTAGACACAGTCTCATTATGTCACCCTCAGTAGAGTGCTGTGGCATCAGCAACCTCCAACTCTTAGGCTTAAGCATTCTCTTGCCTTGGTGTCCTAAGTAGCTGAGACTACAGGTACCCGCCACAACGCCCAGCTATTTTTTTGTTGCAGTTGTTTAGTTGGCCCTGGGCTGGGTTCAAACCTGCCACCTTCAGTGTATATGGCTGTCGCTATAACCACTATGCTACAGGCACCGAGCCTAAGGAGATATTCCTAAGGAACTTAACACATTATATATATATTACCATACAAAAATCATTAAAATAGGGCCAAAAACTTCTACAAAATGTAAAAACCACCCCTACTTATTTCCATAAAAAGACCACCCACAAAGCTAAATAAGTCGTAAAATTTATCAGGAGGCGATAAGTGTTATTTTCCAACTAAAGAACTCTAATTTTGATGGTACAGTAAGATAATTGATAAAGTCAATATATAGATTTCATTTTAAAAATAAGTATTTTGGCTC